ATTAGACGGTACAAGTGTACTGGCCGTGACACGGCCCTGTAAAAATCAAATAGGGTGGCCATTTTGGCATCCTTACAGGAATGTGGAGTTTTTCTGCGTATAACCGTGCACAGGCAAACCAACTCTGGAAAGCCACAGGTCAAAATTAGGCTTGCGCTCCCTGAACGCAAAGAAAGTGAGCAAAAGCCCTATCTAAATAACTTGAGAAAGAAGAGAAAACTACACCATAGATTCTGGTTATGAGTACAATTCACTGGCAGTACCTTTATCATTTGGGAAATTTTGATTTTCCAACCAGTGCTTCACTGTGAATACTGCAGAAGGTGCCATGTGACATCCAAATTTGTCAAAAATACCATCTCCGTGCAATGCCGTTTCCTTTTCATTGTTGGGTAGGTCTGGTTAGGCAAAAGACAATTCAGCGAAAATGAACTACAGGATACTTACAAATTACTACAACTGGCAGTTGATCACCTCCAAGGAGAGTGTTCAAGGGGGAAGGGAGTGTGAGGTTAGAAAGAGGTAGATAAAACATTTTGATTATTAAGGTGATTCCTAAGTATTGCATTGTGCATCCCCACTGCGCACGATTTTTGCGTCATTAGGGCGCGCTCATGAGCGCGTGCATATACCACAACATATACAAAATGGTGGCTTTTTCTAAACTGCTTGGCTTGCAAGAGACAAATCATCGTTTTTCCTCGGAAACGAGAACCGGGACCTAACGATTTTTTTTTATTTAGTTTGAATGTAGAGNATCCGTTGCTTCCAGCTACCACAAAAACAACGCGCGTGGCTAGGCATAAATGGGGTAAGTTTGGCCCATCGTATCTCTTTAGTGACAATGGTGACCCATCTTTTTTAGTACCTTTTTCAATGCAGTGCCTAGAAGGGAAAATTCAGGGAAAGTTTCAAAAAAATTGTTTGACAACTTTTATTTCTGAGGAATCACCTTAAAAGCCCATGAAGGGAAAGATTGGAAAAGGAAGACGGGGGAAGAGAGGAAGAGCTGGTTCACAGGCTTACTCTTAATACGATTTTCATAAGGCAAGTGCTAAACTTACATCTAGCGCTTCACAATTGCAAGCAGTGTTGCAAATGATCATCAAACATGTGACGTGTCTGTGAGTGTATGCTTGGATATCAAGTGTAAAATATAGAACATTTTACCATGTTGTCATTAACAGTTACACAAGCCGTGAACTCTTTAACTTACTAGGAGGTTCTTGGGTCGTTTTAACCGCCCTCTCAAGTTCTGCCCAGTCTACTTCATTTGCCCGTCTGTCTGTTTTCTTTTCCTCCTGTGACAATCTGTAACAGGATAAGTTTATTTTCTTGTTTACAAAAAACAAAAAAAAACAAAAAAACAAACCGAAATTTCCACTTCTAATATAAGTTTAGAATCAATCTTGATGAGAATAAAAAAAGAGAAGTTAGCTCTAAAAATATATTGAATGACACATCTACTGCTGTTACATGATGATAATCTTTTTCCACCAGAATACGGCCTGAAATCAAATTTACATTTTTGAATGCAGACATGTATGGCGTGGATTGGGGGGATAAAACCAATGCAACTGGAGTGTGCAGGCACTGTTGTAGCCAGACCAGGACGTAGTTCAAGACAATACAGCACTCCTGAGTTTATTGAACGCAAGCAAGGCTAGGAGTAAAAAACTTAGCTTCGACGAACTTTGACACCATGTGCACTCTTCTAGACCAGTTTTGACTGGTTTCCAGACTAGACGGTATGTGACGTAACGGTCTCAAAGTGTCCCACTACACTGTGGCGTGGGGGATGGGGGGAGGGGGNACATGGCAGATGTCTGAAAGATAAGCTGGGATATAATTAATGGTAGGACACATATAGTTTGCTTGTATTTACTGTTGTTTGTCTGCAGTTAGCATTTACATACTGTGTTTGCTTGCGGTTAGCATTTATTTACTGTTGTTTGCTTGTGTTTAGCATATATTTACTGCTGTTTACTTGTGCTTAGCATTAAGGGGTTAAGGGGTGAAGGGGAAGGCAACTAAATGTGTCCTAACATGAGTTATATCCCAATAAGCTGCTGAATGTTTGTTGTAAAATATTCAATTTACATTTGTTAAACAGACCTCGAAGTACTGCCTTTACAGAGAGGACATGCAAACCATGGACACTTGCACATCTTTTTTAGGGACAAAAGAATGAGGGCTCTTCATCCTAATAAGAGTACATGTATTTAACATTGTTATACCATAAAAACACCAATCTTGTACATTATATAATGAGCCTTCAATCTATAGTCCCTAAAAGAGTTTCACGTAATCATGGTTCAAGTGTCCAAGTACTGTAAGAATAGAAAAATCTCAAAAGAATTATTGGCTGCAAAAGAGCGCATAGTTACTCAAATTGAAAGTTTTTTATATATACTAACCATACCTTTGGAAAACTTCTCTAAGGAACTGTGCTGTTTTTTCATGGCCATTAACCTTAGCTGTGTCTTCAGGTAATGGTGAAATGTCTTTGTAAGCATCAAAAACTACTTTTCCAGCTGAGGTGTTAAAGATCATGTGCAGAAAATCAAAAGCATCACATTCCGCTGCTGTGTCAACTAAAGTCTGCAGTACATGTACATCAGCTGGTTGCGAAGAATTGCTCTGATTGCAGAGTCCTAAAAAAGGAGAAGTAAGAAATAAAATATCATTTTCCAGAAACAAACACATATTGGTTATCTCAAAATCTTCAAAGACTGATTCTTTTAACAGGGTGAAATACCTAGTGTGAGAATAAGACATGTTATATTTTAGGTAATTATAAAGATTTGCAATTTGTTGTTGCCTTAAGCTATTAAAAATATGAACTTGCTGCTTGCATTTCCTTTTTTTTGCATTTTTTGTTTTGTGTTCACTGGCCTGCCTGATCACCCACACTCTCAAGGAAGGAAAAATAAGTTAGGAAATCACCAAAAGATAATAGGAAGCAGTTTGAAAGAAAACGTAAGTTTTTATTAACTTAATTTCTAAATCAACTTTGAAGATTATGTTCGACTCATTAAAAAGCTAACATTTAAAAATAATCCTAAATGATTTACCGAGACTTGAAGAACTTGGTGAGCTAGACATACTTCCTCCAGCACCTCCACGTGAGGCTGCCCACTCATGAAAGAATTCAGTCTGTCTATTTGGATCGTGAACTAGTTGCTGGTACAACTTTGTCCTTCTATCTTTACTCAGATAGAAGATTCTTGTTGTTCCCAAGGAATGAGCCTTGTCGTCTGTGAAAACCTCAACAGAAGCAAAACCTGGCTTCTGTCCAGCTGCAACATTTACAAAAATAGACCAAGTTGGTATGGGCAGAAATGATAAATGCATTGAAAAACAAAATTTGGAGAAAAGTTATTTAATATATATTTATTTATTTATATCAGTGAGCGTTATTTAAGTAGGATGCTGCCTGCATGAAATGTTGGAGAAACTTGATTATTTATTGTAAAAGTTATTTATGACTTTGAAAAGAGGATACAAAATAAATACGATCTATGTGACTGCTTGACGTTAATTTAATGTTGTTAACCGGGAAGCAAGTCCGAGGAAAGGCAATACGACGTGTAACAAATTAAACACAACTATTTATCCTCAATTCCGCCATTTTTTTTTTNGTGACTTTTGATCTCATATTGAATTCTCCTTGTTCATAGAAGGAAGCAAAAAGCAATTTGCAAGGAGAATCTTGCAGTCTATCTGATGTCACTTAGGGTCTTTTTCCACGCAACCCTTCAATTTTAGTTCTTAAAGTACTTAGTATTCTAAGAACATTTTCAAGTGGATCAATTTTAATCATATTTAACTTTCATTTCCAAATTTGTAATTTATCTGTAGCTAAGTGTCTCCTATTAGTACAAGAAATCACTTGGCTATGGTATTCAGAGACATTAATAAAGCCATTATTTCAGATGGATACATGTACAGATTATTTGCTGTATTATCTGCATGTATGATACCATAAAAGCACATTACAATTAAGTTTATATACATACGTGGAATCTCTAGTCCGCCTAAGAACTTTTCGCGTATTTTTGTAACTTCAACAAGTGTTGTTTTCCCAAATGAAACCCAAGCAGAATGGACTTCTTCAGGAAGGTTTCCTTGATATTTTAGTGTAAAGGGCTTACCACCCTGAAAGACAAATAAGTTCACAAAAACGTCAAAAGAGACACCACTCTATCAAATATCAAAAGGCTTTTTAAGCCAACTTGTGATGTTAAAAACAGACAGGTCTCATGAACCACATATGACACAAGTGGTCAAAAAGATCTTGAGGGGTTTGTATGTGGCATGACACAGCATAAATTTTACAACTAGTAATTTCTAACAGAAAGTGAATGCTGGGCAACAGTGTCAAGAACATTTAGTTCTATCTCTGAAATCACAATAACTTCCCAATAAAAGAGGTAGTCGGTTCGAGTCCCAGAGGTCATAATTAGTTTTACTTTCTTCTTTTTCCCCTTAGTTTTTAACTGTTTCTTATTTTTAAAAAAACATCCCCAAAAATGCAGAGTTTTCCTAACCATTTCCTTTCTTTAAAAAATAATGTGGAGTTTTTAATCATTCTTGCCATTATTTGAAAATTTGTTGAATTTTTTTGAACCACAGTACTCAGCACTCAAAGCTCTTTACTGCAGAATTTGTCTTATGTTTAGATTGACACAGCAGTCTAATGAAGTTTGTCTGAAGCTTTCGTTTGAAGAGTATTTGAAGAGTTATTGACAACAGTACAGCTGGAATCTTAGAAACAATGGACCTGAATGCAGAGTTTTCCTTGCCGTAAATCATGTGGAGCATTTGATCATTCTATAATTCATCAAGTCTTTTGAACTGCAGTACTTGAAGCTCTTTACTGCAGAATTTGTCTTATGTTTAGATAAAAAATTTTCACAGCAGTCTTAAGAAGTTCGTCCGCAGCTTTTGTGGTATAAAGAGAGTTTGAATAGAAATGAACAACACTGTGATGGCACAACCTCTTAGAATCTCATTTTCGTGTCTGGCAAGATAAAAAACAAGACGTGTTGTAAACACACAGCTACAAAGCATTCCATGAAGAAAACTGAGGCTAGGAGGAATTAGCAAGGAGTGACAGGCCTGCACAACTTCTAACAATGGAAACTTTTGTACCATGTAATATATGACCCCTTTATAGTTTTGCTCTTACGAGTA